TGATTGTGTTCCTCAGCCAATGTTTATTACTTCATATACATCATCAAAAGAGATTTGGAATAGAGGAGCATAAGACGATAGACAGCTACCTCAGTCTAKCCAGTTCTCATGATGAGGCTCATTTCCAATAAAAGTGAGGGCGAGTTTTCAGAAGGAAGGACCTTGAGAGGGTAAGTAGTCGGATTCCCTCAGTTCTTCTCCAAAGGGATCTATGGCCATTTGTTCAAATAACCACATGTCAGGGAAAGAAAAACAGATATTTCAAGAGATGTTGAACACAGGGTTGGAGTTGATGTAAATATCTGGGGACACAGAGCCATCCTGGCCCCTCTGTTAGAGTGGATGGATGTCAGGTAATGTCCATCTCGGAATGGGTGTACTGAATTCAGCCGGCAGTCATTTTCCCAGCTCCTGAATGTGTAATCAGGACACAACAGTCACATGGGTCAGACAACAGTATACTTGTACTAGGGCAAAAGAAATTCTCCTGCTTTCTGTTAAGTAGAGCTCCTCTGGCTGCCGCAACACATTACATTGGCCCACTGTACGGATCAGAGTGTGGTCGTGGGTCTGAAGAGCAAGAAGTATTGAGTATTCTGAATGCCTTGGGTACATCGCGGGCACCACGACTCAGAGACACGACATGTAGGTAAGTTTGAGGGACTCAATGATTTGAAGCATGCTAGGATTTCCCCTCCAAAGTTCCAAACTAGCTAGARACTCTGGACACTACTCAAAACCAGCTGCCTGAGGGTTCTGAAAGGTGAACACAGCAGGCAGGCTTTGGGGAGAAATCAAAACTTTGAGGGGAAGTCGAAACTCAAAGGGAGCAGCCCGTAGTGAATCCACTTCCTCTTCCTCTAAGAACAGCCACACTCTTGCTGGGTGGCCTAAAACTTTGATAGGAAGCTCTTCTTTCTGCTTGGAAGAGCCAGGAGAAGAGCCCCTCAGAGTAACCAGGCTTTGTGGGGAGTGAGGGGAAAATGTCCAAAAAGAGAGGCTCATAGAAAACATGTGTGTAAACCCTCCCCTGGTCTGTGGCTGATACCTGGGGCAAAMGGAAATCTGTCAGACCTGGGGCTGAGCTTTTTCCACTACAGACCAAGAGTGCCGTTTGAGCCTAACCACCAGAGTTACCTGCTAAAATAGAGTTCCTGTTTTGGTTCAAGCAAGAGATGGCAATTAGCTACCCATCCAGTCAGTGTAGATGCGGATGGGACACGGGGCGGGGGGTGGGGTTGGGGGCTACAGAGCAATGAACTAGTCAGAGCTGCCAGACCTTTCAATAACAGGTATGTTCAGATTGTCTGGTCTACAATGTTTCATCTGACACGAAACCACCTGTTTCTATATTGCATCAAAATTGGAAATTTCTCTCCTGATCTCTTCATTCACATTTTGCCCTGAACCTCATGGTAYATGGGACTGGAAGAGTGTACACCCCTTCAGACAAGGTCTGTGTGTTCTAGATTCATCCTCTCTGGGTCTGTGAGAATGAGACGGAGCCTGAGGCACATGTAGGTAGCATGTAGACGTGTGGCCTGAGTTCTGTAGATTCCAACTGGTTGTCTTTACTTTGTGTTTATTCAGGAAAGACAAGAAATAGTCCTTGGGTTCCTGCATTGTACATTGTCTGAACAATAAATGGTAAATCCAGGCCCCTCCTGCCAAAGCAGCTTAGTGGGTAAGAACCCAACTCCCAATACTTGGTTCTTGTAGGCAAAGTTCAGGGATATCATATTGTCATCATAGCTCAACCCAGAGTCCTTGGATACACGTGGGCCGCTCATTTACCCTGACCCCACATTCAGTGGGCTCAACACCTCCCAGATTTACCATAGGAGAGGGAGCCACAGGCCATAGGCGGTATGTGTGGGAGAGTGCAGACGGGTCTCCATTCTCTCTGGAGGAAGCAAGTCACCAAGTAAACTGAGCCCACCAGCCATTCTGAGCTGGTTAGAGGTTGAGAACTGGCACGTGATCACAGAGAACTTACTGTTTTTTCCCTTAGTACTCCAAGAAAATGGGTGTGTAGCAAGTGAGATGGGTGGGTTTGCAACTTGATTGTCGTTGTTTTGAGAACCAACACAACCGTGCCAAGCATTTCCCCCCAAAGCCACAGTATCAGCAGACCCTGGAGGCCACCTGCTCCTAGGAGCTCTTCCACCTGTTGGCTTTGGAGCCTGCCTTTACCTGATAAGCCTAGTTGCACAGCAGGGCACCAATGGCCTGCTAGAGCCCTTGGGCCACCCTCCTGTGTGGTCCACTTCATGACCTGTCTAGACCCAGTGGTTGGCCTGTGCTGGGGCCCTTTTGGGTGCCCACCTGCTTCACAAGTGCAGTGTTGTACCTGTGAGAAGCACGTGCACCAGGCAGGGGAACAGTACAGTAGTTTAGAGACCTCTGTGGCCTTCGGGAGAGCTCGTTATACTTTACTTYGGAGTTTCCCTAAACCATAACTGTGATGGTTGGTCAGTTATAAAGGCCAATTTATGCTCTGTGCAAGTCTATGCTCTGTGGAATTTTTGTRACCCTGGACACCGGTTCCCTGGGAGAGCCCAGGTATTCCAACTCGGCCAGCTCCCGCCCACCACATTTTCTAGCAAGTGCTTCCGTGGGTAAGGCCACCTCCCTCTCTTCCCTGTACATCTCTCCTAGATGCTGGACAGAAGGTATATATCAGCGCTTATTAGAAATASACTTAGGATAAATATTCTTAGGATGCCAAGTCCTCTATGCAGGGACAGTTGGGTTGATCCTCTTCCATGATTGAGTCTCCTTAGGACAGCTCATTTCCTGTGCCCTAACAACCAAGTCTTCATGAAGCAACCCTTCCCTTCTCCACCACATCTTTTATTCTGTTCAGCAACAATGAGGTCCCTACCACGGACCCCCCACTTGAAAAAAGCACCCACTTATGAGCCAGAACAAGTGGAAGGCAGCTACCAGTGGGCTCCTTCCGTGTGCTTGGTGGAGGCCATCTCTCACCACACACGCCTCACCTGGCTCTCCCAGGATCTGATAAAGTCCAGAGTTATTCTGGCTCACCACTCTTAGTAATGGACATTTGGAGGGATTTGCAGAAATATTAGCAATGGCCGTTTTGTAAGAGGCTTCACTTTTATTCAAGTGGTTGTGCAACCCAACTGCCTCCTCCTCCAGTTCCTGCAGCCATGCTGTTTCCTCTGCTTCTGTAGCACCCAGCTCCATAGACCCCAGGCTCCCCAAGAGGCACCTGTTGGGCCCTAACTAGGATGAAGTGTTTCTCCCCCTCTCTGAGAGCAGCCCTAGTTCCATCTTGTCGGGGGTTAACAGCACGGAGCCATCCTGATCCAGATCTCCGAGTGTTGGCAGTGAGTGCTAACTGGTGCCCACGACCTCAGCAAGCTGCCCCTGGGAATCCCCAGGGTATCCAGAATCATGAACTCTGAAGCAGGTTGCTGTTTTTCAGAGAGGTAGGATCCTAAGTTAGCAAGAGTTGGGTGAAGCTAAGACGTTTTGATTCCGGTCCTTCAGGAGTGAGAGGACACTGAATGGTAGAGGAAGGTGAGGGCCACCCCCAAGGAGACTGGGGTGCGTGAGGCAGGACTGGGCAAGGGCATTTCCTGAACTTCTCAGCATAACCCACTCCTTGAACCTCTCAGGCCTTCCTTTAAAAGCTCAKTCTGCGCCATCTGTTTTTGCAGCTTATTGAATGTTTTAAACACATTTTAAATTACAAGATCTACATGTTTGGAAAGGACCTCAGGATTATGCTGYGGGGGCCGCAGGGGAGGGAGGTGGGCAGGTTTGAGGGCTTCAGCCTCCAGGGAGGCGGAAAAGGAAGGGCCACCCTGGTGCTCCCAGTGGGATGCAGCTTTCTAGGAAGACAGAGGGCTCCCGCAAGGATGGATGGCCCAGAGGGCAGCACCTCCCTCGGGATTTGAATCAAGAGGTCTCTGCTAGACACAAGCCCAGATATGCTCACGGACTGTCAGATATTAAAACTTCCCGAACTCAATCTCTTACTCGGTTCATCTTTATTTAGAATGAAATAACAGAGCTTCTACTACAAATATCAAGGCATTTGGGTTGTTTTTGAAAAGAGAAGGATTTTTGATTTCTGTTTCCAACAAAGGACAAAAGAACCCAGGTGTAAGGAGACTGTAATGCTGAGTTAGGCCACTAGAGGGAAGTGTAGACTTGGCTGGAGCCAAGTCCAGGAGCCAGGTGGGCTGTGGGCTGATGGGAGAGGGACTCTGCTGCACTTGGTCAGTCTGTGCCCACCCTGGCTACCTGGGGACCATAGGAAAGAAGCAAGAGTAGTGTCACTGGACTCTGGGGATCCTGATTCTGCAACCAGTAACCAGGGCACAGGATACAGCTGTCCTTGTTCACTTGTGGCTACAACAGAGGATAAACTGAAGGGCCGTGGGTGATGATGCAGATTGCAGGTGGGGACTGGAGATGTGGCTGGGCCAACCTCCTCCCTTCTGCCACACAAGGACTGAGGGCTTCTGTGGAGGTGTTTCTCGTGGCTGGACCCCAGACCTTCAGAAGGTGGCCAGATGGACCTCCCACCTTCTCCAGTGCTTCCCTTCCCTTCTTCACTCCTCAGAACCCCTCACCCTCACCCGTTCCTCTTCTGYGATGGTCTCTGTCTCTTCTTATCCATCCCTTCCCCAGACATTCTCTTCTTCCATAGAAATAATCCTTTCCACCCCTAATCATCCCTCTTGCATCTTGCAAACTTTGCGGGTTGGAGTGACCAAAGCTCTACACCCCTTAGCCCAGTCGTTGAAGTTCTGTCAAGCAAAGGGCAGGGTGGGGAAGGAGTGAGGCTCAGTCTCACCACAGTCTTTATTATTTTTTTTATTATTGGTAATATTTATTTTTTAGTTGTAGTTGGACATAATACCTTTATTTGTTTATTTTTATGTGGTGCTGAGGATCGAACCCAGGGGCCTTGCATGTGTGAAGCAAGCGCTCTACCGCTGAGCCACAACCCCAGCCCCCTCACCACAGTCTTTAAAAGCCCAAATATTGCCACCGAGTACCACTAAGCCAGGGGGATGATTGCATCATGGTGACGTAGTTGTAAGGGGTTCTGATCCTCAGCCTCTTCACCCATGTGGGGCTCAGGTAGGAGAGAACTGGAGGGAGAGACACAGACCATGGGCTAAACATATTTAGGGGCAGGAGGCCCCCACATGCCATCCTTTTCCCCCACCTGAGTTCTAACCCAATTGAGAGATGGGCAAAAAGGAGGTCAACAAACCTCCTTCATTCCTGATGGAGTGGAATTGGGGACTTGCTTAGGTGAGTGGTAATCAAGTGATTCCCCAAACGGAATCTCAGAATTGGCCTTATCTACACGGTCGCCAGCTGCTCCAGTCAACCACATGGCCCAGCCCCACACTGGACCCTGTCCTGGTGCACCCAGCTTGGGGGTGTTAATAGAGCCCCAGTCTCTGCAGGTGGATGGCTATGGAGAGGCTCGACCAGGGGACACTCCCACCCACCAAGTCCTAGTTGAAGAATCTGCCCCAGAAGAAGGGAGGGGGCAGGTGTGTCGTGCTGACCCACGGGCTGCCTCCCAGAAGGAGACTCGGGAGGCCCCTGCACTCACTCTCCATGTGCCCACCCACAGGAGGGAGGCCAGACTCTCCAAACTTGTGTCCAGTGGCCACAGCTGCTGGGGTTGCATCCTGCCCTCAAACTCCAGGCTGGGATGCTGACTCCTTGTCCAGCCTACTACACGGGGATGGCCGGGGGATTCACCAGGACAGGCTGGTGAAGTCTGTGCCAGAGCTTGTGTGGCCCACCCTGCCCCATAGAGACCGGACAGAGGACAGTGTGCCCAATGAGGCTCAGCTGACCAGCCCCTCTGCCCCAGAGAGAAAGCGCATGCGGGGTGGCGGTGTATGTACCTGTCGGCACGAGTATGTACCTGTAGGCACAGTGGCCCCGCCCACTGGAAAAGATGTCTTCATCAGTGCCTGGAATCCGCCCCATCCGTTTGGTGCTCACTCTTCTGAGGAAAGAAAGATAAGTGGATCAACGGTAGGAACCTCTGTCCTCCCCCCACAGTGTCAAGCACCCTTGCTCACCACCAGGAGTCGCGTTCGGTGGACCGTGGTGTGAAACTATCACTTTCGAGCTCTGGCCACTTCTGGCCTCTGAGTCCTCTGCCCTTTGCCCATCCCATCCTGGCCCTGGAGTCTGCACACCCTGGCTGCCGGCTGCATCCCTGACCGTGCCCCAGCCAAACAGGCATAACTGGGAGGCAGAGGTCCCCCCATTGGGTCCCCCTGCCCTTTCACTTCTAGACCCCCTGGGCTCCTTCCTCCATCCTCCTCCACTGAGAGGTCCAGTGACTTCTTTGATACCCAGTGTCTCTTCCTGAGCCCTTGCTGATGCAGAGCAGCTCCAGTCAAGGCACCTTACACCCTTGCACCTAAAATGTCAGTCCTAGCCCTAACCTGGCTCAGCATGTGGCCCCAGGGGCTTGGAGAGACCTCCCCTGCCTCTGGCTGATGCCTAGGAATGCCAAGGGTGTTCTGCCTCCTTTGTAAGGCTGAGCACGTCGGCTCTCTCCAGCTCTGGTCTGAATGTCAGGACCTTCCTGAGTTTAGTCCAGTCTCCCCCATTGGCCCGAGAGGTTTCCAGCTTTCCCTCCTGGAAGAAGCAGCTGCCATGGAGATGCTGGGACTCACTAAGTCGCTGGTTGTAAGGAACAGCCACAGRCACAGGCRCAGGCAGAGGCAGGCTTAGTCAGACTGGACACAACTGATAAGGGCCATCATCTGGAGACAGACAGAGGGGACACCTGGGAGTGGCCCTGCTTGTCCCTGGGGCCCCCTTCCCTGCCTGCAGGCCTCCATCCTCCCGCTACACTTCAGGAGCGCCGGAGCCCGTGGGCCGAGGGAGGAGGGAGGACTAGCTTGGCAGTGGCCCATCAGAGGTCGAACAAATACTTTCACTTCTCTTTTCCCCAACGGGGCGGGGCGGAGCGCTGTTTGGTGAGTCAATCCCAGGGCCCACTTCCTGCTCAGGGTCGGGCAGCCACACTGGACACAGGCGGGGGAGACTGAGGGACAAGGGGTCACCCTCCCAGACCCAGGCAGGTCCAGGGCAGGAGGATGGCAGACGGGGCTGGCGACCCGAGCACCAGGTGAGTCTCTCTCCTCCCTTGGATTTCTGTCTCTGGCCGTGTGCTGCTTGAGTTCAGCTGGGGTCTAAGGGGGTACTGTGGCTCAGTCCCGCCCCACGGGAGCCAGGTCTGCACTAGATGAAGTAAGAGCTAGGAGAGAGGAAGAGGGGTTTTTTAAAGGAGCAGGACGGCTGTCGGCTGTCGATGTGAGTTCAGCTCACCACTCAGGAGTGTCTTGTTTTGCAGTTGCTGCTCAGGGGCGGACTCTGTCCCTCCCAGCAGGGATTGGCCATTTCCCATGACCTCTGAATGCTCCCAGTCCTCCCCCACCTCCCTCCACCTTTCACAGGTCACTTCAGAGAGGGTAGGTGGGGCAACRCCAGCTCCAGGGTAAACATCTGGCACCTTTTCCAGCAAGCCTGGGGTGCTATGGTCCAGCACCTGCAGGGGACTAGCTTTGTCAGATCGGGGCTGTCCCTGCGCTGACGCTGACGGGGTCTGAGCTCTTTCTCTGTTTATCCTGATCAAAGGGAAAAAAAAGAGAGAAAGGGCCCATGAGGAGAAAAGCTAGTGCAGGCCGAGTTTTATTTTCACTTTGATTTTCTGTTCCTGGGTAGGTCATACCTCTGACAAGAAAAACAATAGAAATTCTATCTTTTCCTCTGTAGTGGGCTCAAAAATAACAAGACTTGATTTTTTTTTATGTCTACAAAAGGAATACACTCTACAACCTTGCTCATAAAATTTCAAACAGCATAGAGGTCTACAATGGGAAAAAATTCCCTTCTCACTCACTTTCAGCTTCCGGTCCCAGGTCTGTGAGAAGTCTGGTCTCGTCTTCTCTTTTCTGTGCATTTGTCTAGATAACTTGTTATCATAAATGCATTTTATAATAAATGAGATGATACTGTACATTTTTTCAGCATTTTATATTGCCACTTATTTTAAAAGTGGAAATCTTAGAGATCTTTTCACCTTAATACATGTACATGAACTTTGTTTTTTAAAGCAGCTTTATGCTATTCCATGAGATTGATATAGGTACCATAATATTTAAACCATCCCCTTCTGATGGATATTTAGGTTATTTCCATTGTTCACTTTTACTAAGAGTCTGTGATAATGATTATATACTTTATGTTGGAATTCTACATCATTGTATCAAAACACAAGAAAGTGGAATCACTGAGGCAAAGGGAATCAATGTGTACTTGTTTATAGGCTCAGCTAAATTGCCTTTGTAAGAGGCTGAATATGAATGTATTCTCTTATCAACAGCAGATGAGACGAGCCACCTCCCCACACCCAGCCAGACTTTGTCAAAGTGACAGATGAGGAGGTGCACGTGGTTTTCATCTGTATTTTTCTGATTAGGTAGGAGGTGGCTCGGTCTCTCCCGTTTGTTGGCTGTTAGATTCCCTCTCCTCTTTCAGGTTCATTTTCTTTCCAGTTTTATTTGGGTGTCTGTCCTTTGTTTCATGATATGGGAGATTTCGCTGGATATCCTGGAGAAGTATAAATGTAGCTTCCTTGTCCTAACTTTGTGTGAGGTGGCTTTCGTCTTACGAAAACTTACATTTTAAGGTGCAACCTACGATGGCATTGATTTCATAAGATATAAATAAAGTGGTGTGGGAAGTTACTGATGGATTGATTCCATGAGCACTCCCAGTGTTTAATGATGGCTCTTGCGTTCTTTTTTGGCTGCATATTCGAGCCTACTTTTAGGGGCAAAAGAAAATAAAAAGGGAAAGTTCCTTTTCAAACATTTTTGACAATTTTTTTTCCTTTTCAATTTTATGCAAAATTATATTCCACTGGAGTAACTCCAGCCTTCTCAGCCCAAAGGCTGCTGGATACTTTCCCCTCTCTGATTCTTTCACTTCATGTTTCTAGTGATCACCTTCAGCTTTTCCTCCAGGACAATCACTCAATTTTCAGTAGGTTTATTTCTTGTAATTTATAATTTTAAAAAAACCAAACAAACTGTGTGTGTGTGTGTGTGTGTGTGTGTGTGTGTGTGTGTGTGTTTGGAGAGGATCTTAGTTTTTTCCCATAGCACTACAAGCCGCACTTTTAGCTGGGTCCTTTAAATCCATCACCCCTCGTCAGGACGCTGCTTGGCTTGGGGTTTTGTGGGGTGTCAAGCCCTTGGGGGGATGCTCTCCTGGTCTTCTGAGTCATTCTTCCAGACTGATTCTGCCTGAATCTCGCATTCTGCGCTCGTTCATTTTTCGGGTGCTGGCTGTGGTTTGGTAGGCCGTCTCGATGATATCTGCCCCAAGATGCTCACCCAAATGTCGTGCTTGCTCAGATAGAATTGGATTGGATAATTTTTTCACATTTCCTGTCTTATCTGAGACTGCATTGTTTCCCATCTGAGCTACAGTATGAAGTTTCTGTTTTGATTCTCACCTGTTTTTCTGAGGACGCCATCAAGTGATCGCCAGGTAGACAGGAGGGTGGTTATGGTTTGGCTATGAGGTGTCCGCCCAAAACTAACTGTTAATGCAGGAATATTCAGAGATGAAGTGATTAGATTGTGAGACCTTTAACCCAATGCATCCACCCTGGTTCAAATGGACTGATGTGTGAAAACCATGGCAGGTGGGGTGTGGCCGAGGGAGGTGGGTCCCTGGGGGTGCAGCCTGGATGGGCTGGTCTTCCTGTGCTCCCTTTCCCGGTGAGGTCGGCTGTCCATGCACTGCGACTCTGTCCATGCAAACCTTTCCTCTTCTAAGTTCTTCTTGTCAGGTTTTTTAATTTTTAAGGGGAGCTAGAGATGTAATGCAGTGAGTTCCATCCCAGTACTTCCCCACTTCCACACCTAAAAAATTAAAGAACACATCAACCATTTGCACGGTATGGGCCTTGTTTGGATAACCAGATATTTGAAGATATTAAGGAATTAATTATTTTTACTTAGATGTTATAATGGGATTGTGCTTATTTTTTGCAGTACGAGGGACTGAACCCAGGGCCTCACGCATGCTAGGCAAATGCTCTACCACGGAGCTACAAGTCCAATCTTTTTACCCCCGTAGTTTTATTGAGGTAAAATTGAAGAACAATAAAAGGCATATATTTGAAGTCTGCAATTTGATCAGTTTTGACATGTACGTAACCAATATAATCAATATAAAAAACATTTCCATGGCTTTTTAAAAATCTGAAATCATGAAGACTGTGTTTCCTGCATGATTACATTAGAAACCAATCACCTTAAGATATATAGAAGAACCCCTCCCCACATCAACTATTTCAAAATTAAATAGTGCACTCATAAATATCTCTGAGGTCAAGGAAGAAAATACAAGTAAAGTAAATAAAAAGTGCTCTGAAGTGATAATAAAAGCTTAAGATACCAGGATCTCTGGGATGAATCAGTACTCAGATGAACATTTAAAATACTTGTGTCAGAAAGAAGCTAGAATAGCAAATTATTTTCAAAGTAAGTAGTAGGAGGGAAAAAAATTAAGAGTAGGAGCAGAAATATATGAAATAGAGAAGAAAAAATACAGCTAAAATTTGATAAAAATCAAGTCTGATGAAGAAAAAAAACAAGGACACAAAAATTAATATCAATGGAAAGAGTGCTGTCAAAATAACCCTACAGATGCTACAAATGAATTAAGGTAATATTACAATTGTATGCCAACATATGTGATAGCTTACATAACATGGTTTATTCAAAGAAGGATTTATGTGCTTCTGAGAAGAAAGTGTATCCAATCACTGATGGATGAAATATTCTGTATATGTCTGTTAAGTCTAAATTATTGATTGCATTATTTATTTCTATAGTTTCTTTGTTTAGCTTTTGTTTGGAAGCTCCATCCAGTATCGAGAGAGATGTGTTAAAGTCACCCAGTATTATTATGTTGTGGTCTATTTGATTCTTGAATTTAAGAAGGCTTTGCTCCATTGTTTGGGGCATAAATATTTATCATTGTTATGTCTTGTTGATATATAATTCCCTTAAGCAGTAAGAAATGTCTTTCTTTGTCCCTTCTAATTAACTTTGGCTTGAAGTCCATTTTATCTGATATGAGGATAGAAACCCCTGCTTGTTTACACAATCCATATGAGTGCTATGTTTTTTCCTATCCTTTCACCTCCAGTCTGTGGATGTCTTTGCCTATGAGGTGAGCCGCATGGAGACAACATATTATTGGGTCTTGTTTTTTAATCCATCTGCCAGCCTTTGTCTTTTGATTGATGAGTTTAGGCCATTAATGTTTAAGGTTGTTGTTGAGATATGATTTGTGTTCTCTGTCATTTTGTCTTAATTCTATTTTTTTGGTGTGTATGGGGGGTACCAGGGATTGAACTCAGAGGCACTCGACCACTGATCCATATTCCCAGCCCTATTTTGGATAACCAGATATTTGAAGATATTTTGTATTTTATTTAGAGACAGAGTCACACTGAGTTGCTTAGCACCTTGATTTTGCTGAGGTTGACTTTGCATTTATGATCCTCCTGCTTCAGCCTCCTGAGCCACTGGGATTACAGGTGTGTGCCACTACACCTGGCTTTTATTTCTAGTTTTTAATTTTACTTAGTTTCTCCTTTGATTGACTGTTCCTTTAGTGTAGTTCCTTCTGTCATTGGTTTTCACTTTTTTTTCCCCTTTCATCTTCATGGAATATTTTATTGAGAACGTTCTGAATTGCAGGCTTTCTGGTTGAAAATTCTTTTAATTTTTCTTTATCATGAAAGTTTTTATTTCATCTTCAAATTTGAAGCTTAATTTTTGCTGGATGTAGGACTCTTGGTTGGCATCCATTTTCTTTCAGAGCTTGGTAGATGTTATTCCAGGATCTCTTGGCTTTGAGGGTGTGGGTTGAGAAATCAGCTGAGATCCATATTGGTTTCCCCCTGAATGTCATCTGATGTTTTTCTCTCACGGCCTTTAAAATTCTACCCTTATTCTGTATGCTGGGCATTTTCATTATAGTGTGCTTAATGTACATCTGTAGTAATTTTGCACATTTGGGGTCCTGTTAATCTCTTGCGTT